AAAAGTAGCTCTCGGTTCAAAAAAGGTTGGGCACCCCTGCTATACAGGGTCGCTACACTACCCCCCTACTACAAAGTTCCTCGCCCACGAGGAACACATAAAACCTGGCACAAAAATCTATAACTAAACACTGTTAGTTGAACAAGGAAGGTCTGGGTGGACTACCATCCCTTCCAGTGAGACCAGGGCGCATTCTTGCCCTCTACAGGAACCGAGGGGTCTCACTATAAACTTTAACCAAACAAAGTCTCTGAACCGACTCGGGGGTCGTGTCTGCCTTCTCGGCAGGGGGGCTGGGGTAACGGGGACAGGGGGTGCCGGTTCTGGTCCAGGCGGGGAAAAAGGGAAGAAGGTGGGGGGAACTCAGTCACTGACGGGGGGCTGCTGCTCTGCTCGCAAGTGGGACCTGAGTGGGGGTGTCGAGGGGGAGGCTGTGGGCCCCGGTGTCCCTTGGGCATGTGGAGAAGCGACTCCTCTGTACGGAGCCAACCTGTCTCTGTGGAGCACAACTTTTCTCCCCTTGGGAGGCAGCTGCACCCTGTAGATAATGGGAAACTGTTGCAGCGGAGCCCCTTACGAGCCATACAAGGGTCACAGCGGCGACAGAAGTCTACGACATCCCTCCGGCACTGCCCCCAGTAGCAGCCCTGGCGAAGGCGGCGGACACTCTCACGGCCCGTCCACACAGCAGCGTTAAAAAAATCTTCCAACGCTTCTGCCCATTCACTTTGAATGGGGTGACGTCACTTTGCCTCACTTTTCGCCGAACTGCATTGGGGGAAGCAAAGCGGAGATTTCCAGGCATCTCACGGCCCCTACACACGGCGGCGTGCGTTGCCGCTTCAACGCTTCTGCCCATTCACTTTGAATGGGGTGACGTCACGATTCGCCGAACTGCATTGTGGGAGCAAAGCGTAGCTTTTCTCGCGGTGCTCGCTGCAAAAGTAGAGCAATGTTCTACTTTTGCCGCCTCGACGGAGGCGTCAGCCAATCAAATCCCGCGTATGCAAATCTGACATTACAAGCGCTAGCCAATCAAACCGCGTGTATGTTGGGAGAGCCAGACCGCAGTTATTTCCCATATGACAAAAAATGGAGGAGAAATTATCGTGGCGGTACTATATGACCAGTCCCTCTTTACATACAGGGATACAAACCGGAGGAGCCAGGCATGGGGGGAGGTGGCAGAGACAGTGGGTGAAACTGGTAGGTTTTCGCCTGTTTGGGGAGTTTATATCCAGTTTACTTCGTTTGAATGGACAGCTAGCAAGCATAGACAGTATATTTAGCCAGCATGGATGTAGCATGAATGCTTTGCTTTGTATGTCCGGGGCGGGACATTCATGTGATTGGTTGTTGGTCGCGTTGCTCGCGTTGACTCCCCAAGCTCAAGACACGCCCACCGCCAAGCGCTAACGCACGCCGCCGTGTGTAGGCTCCGTTACGGCCCGTCCACACAGCGGCGTGCGTTGACGCTTGCCGGCGGGCGTGTCTGACACTCGACCGAAAACCAATCACATGAATCTCCCGCCCCTGACACACAAGCAGCGGTTTGATTGGCTAGAGCTTGTACTGGCATATGATTCGATTGGCTGACGCTTCTGCCGAGGCGTCAAAAGTTGAACATTGCTCAACTTTTGCAGCGAGCTACGCCAGCAACGCTCCGCATCGCTTCCCACGATGCAGTTCGGCTAAAAGTGACGTCACCCCATTCAAAGTGAATGGGCAGAAGCGTTGGAAGCTTCAACGCACGCCGCTGTGTGGACGGGCCGTCAGGCTTCAAAAGTTGAGCAATGTTCAACTTTTGAAGCTGAGGTGGAAGCATCAGCCAATCAAATCCCGTTTATGCAAATCTGACAGTACAAGCGCTAGCCAATCAAACCGTGTGTAAGCTGGGAGTGACATAATAGTTAATTTTCTATATTCCTAACAAAATGGAGGAGAAATTAGTTATTACGGTAGAAAATCACCCGGTTCTTTATGACCAGTCCCTATTAACTTACCGGGATACAAACCGGAGGAACCAGGCATGGAGGGAGGTGGCAGAGACAGTGGGTGAAACTCGTAGGTTTTCGCCTGTTTGGGAATTTTATATCCAGTTTACTTCGTTTTAACATTGCTAGCAAGCATAGACAGTATATTTAGCCAGCATGGAATGTAACATAAAATAGCACCATAGACATTAATCTCATAAATGTTCATCATAGCCCTTCCCGCTGACACTTTACCTGTGCCACATCATAGACTATATGCATCACATTATGTGGAGAAGAACCGGGGTTTTTTGCTCTGTCTTTCGGGGGCGGTAGATTCATGTGATTGGTTGTTGGTCGCGTTGCTCGCAAAAAATCCCCAAGCTTCAGATACGCCCACCTCCAAGATATTTGTAACGCTGCTGTGTGGACGTACCGTCAGTGATGCCAAAGTGCCCAGTGCCTGCCATTCCATGCATGGCCATGAGTACAGCCTCTTGCAGACCACCACCTGCCATCTCTTCTCCCCCGTTGCTGGCTCCTTCCACGCACGCTGTAGTACACCCTGACACAGACGCAGAGCCTCACACTGAGACCACAGCCCCTTGGTTGCTTTGGAGAACACTGCCACTTCCTCCAGTAGGGGGGTAAAAGTCAGGGAGAGGTCTGAACAGCGTGATGCATGTTAGCCGCTAGCATGCGGCTACCAAGCCTGCTGGGGTGGATTCCATCAGTGCCGAAGAGGGCGGGTCGGTCCCAAAATAGATTGAAATTGTCAATAAAACCAACATTGGCAGCTCTGCAGGCAGATTGGAGCCAGGTGTGGAGGCTGAGGATCCTAGTGAAACGCCCTGCTCCACGGCCCAGCGTTGGGATCGGACCTGAGATAAAAACCGACTTTTCACAGCTCTGTAAAAGAATAAAAAAATTCTTTAAATCCTTTTTTGTCAGCTCCGACTGCTGGCGGGCTGTATCGTTAGACCCTTGGAAGGGCTAACTATTGTGGTATATGAATCTCAAGCCTTTCTTGCTAGCTTGTAAGGTTAACATACTAATTTATACACATTTTTGTATAGTTTGAATCTTTATCACACCATATGTGTACCAAGCGATTAGTGATATGGTTATTCATTAACCCTCTGGAGTCTAAGGGTATTTTCTCGATTTTTAGATGTTTCCTTAAATCACCTTTAAAATGTATTTGTTATAACATGGCACCCCATGTTACATATCAAAATGTTCAGGACAGTCTCTGATCTTGCTAGAAATGCAAGTCACTCACCTTAGAGCACTGTTTGATGAGATAATTAGCTTTAAAGCTGAACATTTGACATCCGTTCTTTGGACATTTTGAAAACTCTTGTGAAAACACAGATTCACTCATGTCATCCAATTTTTTTGGCGTTTAGATTTGGTTTAGCAAAGTTCTAGGTTCACAAACGTAGTGAAATATATGAATTACACTGTATATAAATGTGTAATTCATGTCTAAAATGAAAATAATTAAATTTGAATTTTGAGTAAAATAGGTGTTTATCACTCTTCTTTCACCACAGCATCCACTGAGATACATTATGACTGAATAATTACTTCATATTACATACCAAGGCTCATGTGATGTGTACAAATACAAATTGAGCATTAGAACTTTTTTTTTCAACCAACAATTTATTATAGATATGTTTTTTTTCAACCAACTATTTATATAAATATAAGAAACTGGAAAATCTCACTATTTACAATATTGAACATCAGAACTTTCAACCAACTATTCATTATACATGTAAAGACAGTGTCAAAGTCTTTGTCCGTCTTCCAAGACAGTGGGTCTGGCTGCTGTAGGTGGGGGGTCACGTGTGCTACGAGAACTCCACGAGACCTCCACACTGGCTGGGTTGATGGTGATGGCTGTGGTGGATGCTTTGTGCTTAGGTGTATCTTGACCTGGTGGCAGCCACAGATGGAGGTGGAGGCAGCTGTAGTGATGCTGGTCCTCCGGTCCTTGGTGGTGATGGCTCTGGTGAAGGCCCTTGAGCCACGGTAGATCTTGACCTGGGGGCAGGCACAGATGGAGGTTCTGGCTGCTGGATAAACGCCGCCTGTGGGCCACTATGCCCAGGCAGATGTGAATCCTCTCTGTAAAACTAATTCAAATGTAGGACAATAATTACTACTCATTTCATTACAATAAAGTTCTAGTAAAATGTTGCTCAAGCACAGATAACAATGCACACATAAAAAGAAAGTTTGGCAGGTGGGACAGGAATCTTTCTCTCTCTCTCTCTCTCTCTCTCTCACACGCAGGTATTTCCAGTTACTTTACATTCAGTATAAAATCACAGACATGCATATACATACATACATCTGATAATAAACTCTCATCTGTACAGGACAGTATGGTAAAAATCACAGGCACACATATATATATACACATATAGATCTATGACAAAGTCTAACCTGTACAGAACAGTATGATAAAATAATCGATGGCAAAAACATGTCTATAGCCACTGTAAATGTCTCCGTTGTAGGACGAATAAAGGATTATTTGAATCATCTACACATATAATCTCACTTTTACACACCAAAATAACGTTTACACATAAAACACATTAACACAGAGTAAACGTTGCTAATGGAGAGTCTATTTTGTCCCAAGAAAAAGTTAATGACTATCGATAAAAAAAAGATCAATAAACCCACTGTTCATTTTCGTGGTATTCAGTTCACTATTACTGATATATTTACACTTACCCATGTCCAAATGGATCCTTGTTGTCCCTGTATATTACTTCTTCAGAAGAGTTGAAGCCTTCAGGTTCCGAGGCTCCATCTTCACTGCTGCTAGCAACAAAAATCTCTAGCGAAGTGGTTTATGTTTTTTTTTCTTGGTGGGCAGGTCCTTAGTGATTTCTCGAGTGTCCATTGGTCATTTCAGACAAACATGGCTGCCGGCCGAGATTTCCTTGACGGACACACCAATCCACCAATCCCACACAGTGTAACGCAGAGTCAAGCTGCTTTGAGCAGCCCTATTGGCTGCTGTGAGTCGAGTAACGTCTCACAGGAGGTACCGCTGGAAAGCTACACTTCCAGCGATTCCGCGGATATCTGAATCATATTTCTAATCCTTATATGATTAAATACGTCAAATATGCGCACCTCGAAGAACCGGCTCGTCCACCGACTACAGAGGGTTAACCACTGACTTAGAGTCACAAGATGTTAGATGTTAGTATAGACATAATTCCTTATTTGTCATTTATACATACATCAGGAGAACTGAATTAATGTTCCATTATTGTTTCAGGGAAATTCTATCCTTGTTTATGACTTGTTCACTGGATTTAAAGGCTTGAAGTATTTGTATGTGTTTGTGTCATATGAAACAAAATATATTTAAATGTCTCTGCATCTGAAGGAACTTAAGCTAGATAATAGTAGCAAAACACGTTTGTCTACCTGATGTGTCGTTATTACTGTTTTAATGTTCAAATGTAGCCGATCATTGTAATTAAGCATTTTTCATTGCATTTTTTATTTGTGTAAATTCTCGAGCCCATTAACGATTTCAAAAATGTAAATAGCTTTGTAAATGACCAAATATCTTTATCTATTTAATTTGATAATTTTGCAGTATAGGTCCATTGAATGGGGCTATGAGGCCCTCCACTGGGCCCTGGAGAAAAGCTGCTATATAGATGGACAGCCTTCGTTTCAAAGACAAGTCCATGTACAAAACAGGATGGAACCATAATAAGGAGACTTTGCTGCAACTATTGCCTGGAGAAAAGGCAAGGAGCTGGAACATTATGTAAATCAGTAGGCGCAAGGATCACCATACAACCGCTTTGTCCATCAAAGAGTACAACACAGACCATATTGCCTCAAAAATCAACATGTCTCAGGCCGAGGACACATCAACTGACCAGTAAGTAAAACTTTTTTTTCTATCGACTTAATCTCACCTAACACAGGATGTGAAAGTCAAACCATATAAATACATAGTGCATGCAGTTGCATGCTAAATGTACTATTGTTGAAAAGTGAGCATAATCCTAGTAACATGAGAAATGCATTTCACATCCAAGCTCTCGAGTGATATTCATCTTTTAACTTTTTACCTGTGTTATTGATGTGAGAATAAACTAGTCACATTGACATAGGGAGACACATACTGTTAACTATTTTGGGACTCTGTCTTTGTTTGTTATCTGTGTTCCGGCATACTTAGGCAAGAAAGACCAGTGTCTCCTGCACCCAGTGATCTTTCCATGAAGAGTGACTGGTCCAAGGAGGACCCTTTACACTTCAGAAAACGAGAACCAGGGTAAGGTTGGTTAAGTTGAAAGTTTGAAACAGTAAGAAGAGACAGAGAAAAAGTCTCAATAGAATTACTTTAACATAATGAGATACATCTCGTAAATTCTGCTTTGGGACTCCAAAATAACATTAAAAAGGTTCACACCGTAAATGTTTTCTGTTTTAAAGCCTGCTTGAGCCAGAAAGACCAGTGTCTCCTGCACCCAGCGATCTTTCCATGAAGAGTGACTGGTCCAAGGAGGACCCTTTAAACTTTAGAGAAAGAGAACCGGGGTAAAATATGTTGGTTAAGTTGAATGTTTGAAATAGACATAGAGACAGTGGATACATCATTAAACTGATAAGAATCACTTTGACATATTGAGATAAATACTGTCAATACCACTTTTTGGCTCAACAATATTAAAAAAATGTAAAAACTGTTTTCTGTGTTAAAGCCTGCTTGGGCAAGAAAGACCAGTGTCTCCTGCACCCAGCGATCTTTCCATGAAGAGTGACTGGTCCAAGGAGGACCCTTTAAACTTCAGAAAACGAGAACCAGGGTAAGGTTGGTTAAGTTGAAAGTTTGAAACAGTAAGAAGAGACAGAGAAAAAGTCTCAATAGAATTACTTTAACATAATGAGATACATCTCGTAAATTCTGCTTTGGGACTCCAAAATAACATTAAAAAGGTTCACACCGTAAATGTTTTCTGTTTTAAAGCCTGCTTGAGCCAGAAAGACCAGTGTCTCCTGCACCCAGCGATCTTTCCATGAAGAGTGACTGGTCCAAGGAGGACCCTTTAAACTTCAGAGAAAGAGAACCAGGGTAAAATATGTTGGTTAAGTTGAACGTTTGAAATAGACATAGAGACAGTGGATACATCATTAAACTGATAAGAATCACTTTGACATATTGAGATAAATACTGTCAATACCACTTTTTGGCTCAACAATATTAAAAAAATGTAAAAACTGTTTTCTGTGTTAAAGCCTGCTTGGGCAAGAAAGACCAGTGTCTCCTGCACCCAGCGATCTTTCCATGAAGAGTGACTGGTCCAAGGAGGACCCTATAAACTTCAGAAAAAGAGAACCAGGGTAAGATATGTTGGTTAAATTGAACGTTTGAAACAGTAAGAAGAGACAGAGAAAAAGTCTCAATAGAATTACTTTAACATAATGAGATAAATCTCGTAAATTCTGCTTTGGGACTCCAAAATAACATTAAAAAGGTTCACACCGTAAATGTTTTCTGTTTTAAAGCCTGCTTGAGCCAGAAAGACCAGTGTCTCCTGCACCCAGCGATCTTTCCATGAAGAGTGACTGGTCCAAGGAGGACCCTTTAAACTTCAGAGAAAGAGAACCAGAGTCAAATATGTTGGTTAAGTTGAACGTTTGAAATAGACATAGAGACAGTGGATACATAATTAAACTGATAAGAATCACTTTAACATATTGAGATAAATACTGTCAATACCACTTTTTGGCTCAACAATATTAAAAAAATGTAAAAACTGTTTTCTGTGTTAAAGCCTGCTTGAGCCAGAAAGACCAGTGTCTCCTGCACCCAGCGATCTTTCCATGAAGAGTGACTGGTCCAAGGAGGACCCTTTAAACTTCAGAAAAAGAGAACCAGGGTAAGGTTGGTTAAGTTGAAAGTTTGAAACAGTAAGAAGAGACATAAAAATTCTCAATAGAATTACTTTAACATAATGAGATACGTCTCGTAAATTCTGCTTTGGGACTCCAAAATAACATTAAAAAGGTTCACACCGTAAATGTTTTCTGTTTTAAAGCCTGCTTGAGCCAGAAAGACCAGTGTCTCCTGCACCCAGCGATCTTTCCATGAAGAGTGACTGGTCCAAGGAGGACCCTTTAAACTTCAGAGAAAGAGAACCAGGGTAAAATATGTTGGTTAAGTTGAACGTTTGAAATAGACATAGAGACAGTGGATACATCATTAAACTGATAAGAATCACTTTAACATATTGAGATAAATACTGTCAATACCACTTTTTGGCTCAACAATATTAAAAAATGTAAAAACTGTTTTCTGTGTTAAAGCCTGCTTGGGCAAGAAAGACCAGTGTCTCCTGCACCCAGCGATCTTTCCATGAAGAGTGACTGGTCCAAGGAGGACCCTATAAACTTCAGAAAAAGAGAACCAGGGTAAGATATGTTGGTTAAGTTGAACGTTTGAAACAGTAAGAAGAGACAGAGAAAAAGTCTCAATAGAATTACTTTAACATAATGAGATAAATCTCGTAAATTCTGCTTTGGGACTCCAAAATAACATTAAAAAGGTTCACACCGTAAATGTTTTCTGTTTTAAAGCCTGCTTGAGCCAGAAAGACCAGTGTCTCCTGCACCCAGCGATCTTTCCATGAAGAGTGACTGGTCCAAGGAGGACCCTTTAAACTTCAGAGAAAGAGAACCAGAGTCAAATATGTTGGTTAAGTTGAACGTTTGAAATAGACATAGAGACAGTGGATACATAATTAAACTGATAAGAATCACTTTAACATATTGAGATAAATACTGTCAATACCACTTTTTGGCTCAACAATATTAAAAAAATGTAAAAACTGTTTTCTGTGTTAAAGCCTGCTTGGGCAAGAAAGACCAGTGTCTCCTGCACCCAGCGATCTTTCCATGAAGAGTGACTGGTCCAAGGAGGACCCTTTAAACTTCAGAAAAAGAGAACCAGGGTAAGGTTGGTTAAGTTGAAAGTTTGAAACAGTAAGAAGAGACATACAAATTCTCAATAGAATTACTTTAACATAATGAGATACGTCTCGTAAATTCTGCTTTGGGACTCCAAAATAACATTAAAAAGGTTCACACCGTAAATGTTTTCTGTTTTAAAGCCTGCTTGAGCCAGAAAGACCAGTGTCTCCTGCACCCAGCGATCTTTCCATGAAGAGTGACTGGTCCAAGGAGGACCCTTTAAACTTCAGAGAAAGAGAACCAGGGTAAAATATGTTGGTTAAGTTGAACGTTTGAAATAGACATAGAGACAGTGGATACATCATTAAACTGATAAGAATCACTTTAACATATTGAGATAAATACTGTCAATACCACTTTTTGGCTCAACAATATTAAAAAATGTAAAAACTGTTTTCTGTGTTAAAGCCTGCTTGGGCAAGAAAGACCAGTGTCTCCTGCATCCACCAACATTGTAGGAGATGATCCTCTTGACCTCATGCCTAAACAAAGGTAGGGAAAAATTGGTATTGATACTGCTTTAACTTAAAATACAGGAAAAATGGGAAAAAATTGCAAATTAAAGCTTTGAAGCCTAAAGCATACATTTGACCTAAAACATAAAAAGTATATATTCATATTTGTCTCAGTAACGGGCCGTCCACACTACAGCTTCGACAGCTTCAAAAACGGTTTCCAACGCGTCTGCCCATTCACTTTGAATGGGGTGACGTCACGTTGCCTCGCTTTTCACCGAACTGAATTGTGGGTAGCATAGCGGTCCGTCTCCGCCGTCTCCGGCGTCAGAAGTTGAACACTTCTGACGCCGGAGACGCCGGAGTAGCCAGCGCCAGCCAATCAAATCCCGTTTCTGAAAATCTGACAGCTCAAGCCCTAGCCAATCAAACCGCGTCTAAGCTGGGAGAGTTATCCCGCCGTTCATTTCTATATTTCAAAAAAAGATGGAGAAACTAATTATCGCCGTAGCAAATCACCCGGTTTTGTATGACCAGACCCTCTTCACCTACCGGGATACAAACCGGAAGAACCAGTCATGGAGGGAGGTGGCAGAGGCAGTGGGTGAAACTGGTAGGTTTTCGCCTGTTTGGGGAGTTTATATATATATATATTGCTCGCATAAAATTCCCGGGGTTTTTACTTTGTATGTCGGGGGCAGGAGATTCATGTGATTGGTTGTTGGTCGCGTTGCTCGAATAAAATCCCCAAGCTTCAGACACGCCCAGCTCCAAGCTTTTTTTGAAGCTGTAGTGTGGACGCTCCGTAAATGTATCTTTCCGTATTGACACAAACATGTATCGCCTGTGCCCAGCAGCGCTTCCAATACAACAAGCAAGGATGAACAAGACCGCAGAAAAGGTACTCAAACAAGGAGCTACACACTCAAAGAATCAAAACATTGCAAAAACAAACATATTTTGATTCACATGTCATTTGCCTCTTGGTTTAACTGCAAGTTAACAGAATACATAATTTGATAGAGTTTTATTAAAATTGTGTAAAACCTTTTTGTAATTGATGCATCCTGTGTTCTCTGTATTTTCTTTATAATTTAATTAGTCAAGGATAAACAACACAAACTAAAAGAAGACCTAAAAAAGAGGATCGGCAAGCTGCATGAAAAGGAACTGAAAGTAACTGACACTGAACTCTACGAGATACCAGCTGAGAAAGACAAGGACCCTAAAGCACAAACCTTTGATACATTATTTCAAAAATCAAAGAAAGAGAAAGTGCGAACAGTGCTAATGACGGGAGTAGCTGGAATTGGTAAAACATTTCAAAAAAACGTATTCATGGTAGACTGGGCAAAAGAAAGATCTAACAAAAATATAGACTTTATAGTGTCGTTAAACTTCAGTAAGCTGAATTCAATGAGCGCTCAAAGCCTGAAACAACTGATTGGTAATTCCCTCAAGGTTGAAAAACATGGAGATTACAAGTTTGACGAATGTAAACTTGTTTTTGTCCTTGATGGCCTGGAAAAATGTGAACTTCCTCTGGATTTTGCAAAGAACATGGACCTGAAGGATATTGAAGAGCAAGCCTCGATGGATTTGCTGCTAACAAACCTCATCAAGGGGAATTTGCTTCCCTCTGCTCATCTTTGGATCCTCTCTCAACCTTCAGGAGTTGATAAGATTCCTCCTGAATACATCCAGCGAGTGACAGAATGTCAAGGTATAAAACGATATCAGTTTTAATAGTTCATACTCCATATTGTGTGATCTGCTGTTTTATCCTTTATCAATAACATTGTTTTGTTTATTATTCAGAAAACTTGAAGCGACGGCAGAAGCTGGCCTCAGCTCTAAGAGGAAGATTGCTTGAGGAAGCATCTCCATATGAACATGTTAATCCTCCTAACCAGAAAAACACTGAACACATCATAAGAGAGGTCAATGGAGAATCTGTGAAACGGGTAAAGGCCGTATCTGACATCTTTAAAGAAGAAGATGGAAAAACGATCCGTACTGTGCTGACTACTGGAGAAAGTGAAATTGGAAAATCCTTATGTGTGCAGAAATTCATCAGAGAGTGGGCTAAAAATGACAACGGCTATTTTACTTGGTTTAAGGCTTTATGGGCCAAAGCCCAAGCTAAAGAAGTAGACGTTATATTTCCACTTAACATCTTAAAGCTTCAAACGATAAGAAATAATGAAACCAGTTTGATGGAACTTCTTTATGATTTCGTCAAGGAAACAAAGGAAAATGTCATCTCTAACATTGAGCAGTTTAAAGTTTTATTTGTCTTGGATGGATTTGATGCCTACCAACCTCCTCTTGACTTTGACAACAATGACAAAGTAACTGATGTCAGAGAGCGCGCTTCAGTGGATGTTCTACTGACAAACCTCATCAAAGGAAACTTGTTTCCCTCTGCCCGGCTTTGGATAACCTCCCGACTCAAGTTGCCTGATGCATGTGTCCACAGGACGACAGAAATACGATGTAAGCTAAAGGGTGTGGAGGAATTCTATCAAAGGAAACTGTATAAAACATGGTTAAAGTACATAGTGGCAGTGGTCCTAAGTGACACAAATGGGTACCACTTTACAATAAGACTACCCTTATAAAGGATTAATAAAGGGTCTATAATTAGGTTATGAATTAGGTTGTAAACACTTTATTAATCATTAAGAACCATTTATAAACCAGTTCTAACTATAGTCTATAGTTTTCATACATCAACACAGGCTCACTATTTGGCAAGAGAACTAAGCCTTATATTGGCTACTTAGCGAGAATCAACTCAGTGAGCAACAGATTCCAAGGATGCTGGCTGATGAAGAAGATGAAGTAAGCTACGTAGCCAATATACGGCTTAGTCATCTTGCCAAATAGTGAGCCCACATTTATCTGTACTGCTAAGTCTTATATTGGCTACCTAGCTTACTTCGTCTTCTTCATCAGCCAGCATCCTTGGTATCTGTTGTTCACTGAGTTGATTCTCCCCCCTTCCATCTTGATGTTTTTTGGCATCTCTTATGACCATTTATTTACGAGTTACTACCATTTATAATAAGAGCTCACTATTTGGCAAGCAACCGGTCACAGTTGCCCTGTTTATCTCATGTCTTATAAAAGCTTATTAATGATTTATAAAGTGTATAACTATGCGTAAACCTTTTATAAGGGTAGTCTTATTGTAAAGTGGTACCGTTATATGTTTAGCACGTATTCGGTACGAATTTCCATTACAAGTAAGCACCAAAAGATTTAGATGATAAAAAAGAGACAGGATAGTATTTTATACAGAAAATAAGTAAAGTTAAGAAAAATGAATAAATAAGATTTACAAGAATACAATTTATGTAATCTAAGGATAGTTATCAATCTTTTTTACACTTTCAAAAGAAGCAGAGGAACACAATGCCGTCTCTGTGCTTCAATGTGGAAGCCTTCACCTGCTAAATTAGTTTTGGAGGAATGTTATCAAAGGAAACAGTCTAAAACATGGTTAAAGTACATAGTGACAGTGGTCCTTAATGACACAAATGCTTAAAACCACCATGAAATGAAAATATCAGAGTGTTTAGTAATCAGCATCTAGCGAGTCAGATACTTATTTACAGAAATGTTGCTATAGAAATGTTAGCTGAAACACTTTTCTAGTTGAGGTCCAAGTACAAAGATACAAAGTATTTCAGCTTAAATCACTGAGAGAATGCTGCACCTGAAGTTGATGTAACACCATCCACTAGAGAGAAAACTAATCGCATAATTCATAACGACTACCATTAGTTAGGAAATTCTGCCGCCATTTGTTATTTGAGTCAAAGAGATGGCCTGCTCTAACAACATATGAAAAGCTGCTATCTGAATGCTACTCTTTGCTAATAGAAAGAGAGGGACAAGTTTAGCCAATATGTGTATTTTTCTGACCTCGCTGTCAGAACTCAGAGATACTTTCACCAGTGAGCCCCTTATAATGTTTTACTTGCTTACGCAGCAAAAATGATGGCACTGTAGGGTACCCTAAAGGAGATTGGCATCCAACAGTAGAGTAAAGTATAGAAAGGATATACCAATTTCTGCTTTATTATAGCCAATAACAATCCAATAAAATGCTTTCAATCAGCCTCGATTCTGATCCTGAGGATCAGCCTGGAATTGTATGTATGGTATAAACTGTCTAATTTCTGTCCTCACTAACTTAAAACAATACTTTCCTGCAGGTAAGCCTGATGCTGCAAGTCACCAGACACTCAAAACCCAGCTGAAGGAACAATTTACCCATGTGAGCGAGGGGATTGATAAGCAGAAAACCTCTGCTCTTCTTAATGCCATCTACACAGATCTCTACATCATCGAGGGAGAGAGGGGAGAGATACATTCTCAGCATGAGGTCAAACAAGTTCAAGACGCAAAGTTCAAACCAGTGACACAAGAAACATCGATTAAATATCATGACATTCTAAAATCTGCAGCTGGTGAAAATAGACCCATTAGAACTGTGCTGACGCTAGGATTGGCAGGCATTGGAAAGACGTTTGCTACAAAGAAGTACATGTTGGACTGGGCTGAGGGTAAGGCCAACGGGGAAATATTTTTTATATTTCCACTTTCTTTCCGGGAGCTGAATTTGAGAAAAAAGGAAGAACACACCTTGGAGGAACTCATTTTTCAGTTTTGTCCAGGAATGAAGACATCAGAAATAAAAGACTATGACAAGTACAGCATTCTGATTGTACTGGATGGTCTTGATGAATGTCGCCTTGAACTTGACTTCAAGAATGCTGTATTTTGCACAGAGGTGAGTAAGCGAACCTCAGTGAGTGTCCTACTAACAAACCTCATCCAAGGAAATCTGCTGTCCAAAGCTCAAATCTGGATCACCTCCCGACCTGCAGCCGCCAATCATATCCCTGCTGATAAAGTTGACCGGGTAACAGAGGTGCGAGGATTTAATGATGAGCAAAAGGAGGAGTACTTCAGAAAAAGATTCAGTGATAAAGATTTGGCAGAAAAAATCTTGTTGCACGTCAAGAAATCAAGGAGCCTTTACATCATGTGTCACATTCCTGTCTTCTGTTGGATCACAGCAAGCGTTCTGGAAGACGTTGTGAGAGAAACTGAAAAAGAAGGAGAGAGAGCAAAGACAAACGAAGACAGGATGCCCAAGACTTTAACTGATATGTACATATACTTCCTCCTGTTACAATGCAAACAGGCTAATGTCAAGTACGCTTCAGATGAAGCAGGTGACAATTCTAAAACAGATTCATGCTGGAATGCAAGGAACAAGGAAACAATCATTTCTCTGGGTAAAGTAGCTTTTGAGGGTCTAAGGGAAAGGAACCTTCTCTTCGATGAACAAAAGTTGAAAGAGGATGAGGTTAACATCCAAGAAACTGCAGTCTTCTCTGGACTTTTTACTCAAATCTTTAAAGAAGGATGTGGGCTGTACCCACAGAAAATGTTCTGCTTTGTTCATCTGAGCATTCAAGAGTTCCTGGCTGCTTTGTATGTCTTTCAGATATTCAACAACACAGGTGAAAATCTGCTTTCCCTGCCCAATCCAACAGATAAAGACATGCCTGAAGGATTCTACACGACAGCGATTGACAAGGCTTTAGATAGCGAAAATGGGGACTGGGATCTGTTTCTCCGCTTCCTCTTGGGCCTCTCTCTGGAAACGAATCAGAGTCTAGTGCAAGAACTTCTGAGGAAGACAGAATACAACGTACAGACTAACAAGGAAACAATTGGGTACATCAAAGAAAAGATTAAAGATGAGAAGACTCATGCAGATAAAAAATGCAATCTTTTCTACTGTCTGAATGAGCTGAATGACCACTCTCTGGTTGAAGAAGTGAAAAAGTACCTCTGCTCAGAAAGTGTCACATTTGAAGATTTCACCACCTCCCAGTGGTCAGCTCTGACTTTTGTGCTGCTAACATCAGATGAGAGGCTTGATGTGTTTGATCTGAAGAAGTACCTCAAATCAGAGACTGTTCTTCTTGGAATGTTACCGGTTGTCAAAGTGTCCCAAACTGCTTTGTGAGTACTTTAAATGCTCTTACAAATATTTTGTTATCTTGCTTTAAAGTATATTTATTAAGTTTATTGCTGATGCCTTTTACTATGTCTTTGATGGTCGCATTTGGTCTAACAGTGGTCTAAAACAAGTCCGAATTGGGCAGTTCAGAAAAACTCAAGCAGGTAGACACTAATTGGAATGACAGTCTCACATTTGACCTGCAATTATAGTGAGGTTGAGTGATTCTTTAAGACTTTTAGTTTTTCAGAAATAATCTGCATTTCCATACAAAAAAACAGCAAGATTTATTAATGGACCCATGTTTTCACAGGCTGAGCTGGTGTACTCTCTCTGAGGACTCCTGCAGAGGTCTGTCATCTTTAGTCCTCAGCTCCCCATCCAATAATCTTACAGAGCTCAACCTGAGTCATAACGACTTGCATGATTCAGGTGTGGAAATGCTTGCTGAGGGCCTAAAGAGTATGCACTGTAAACTGGAGATTCTCAAGTAAGTGGACAATGCATTTACTGTACGGGTGGTTGCTTTGTGTATGTTTAGTAACATTATTCCAAAATAATGTCCATTGAGCAATGCAGCACATCTTTATTTAAAAAGGTACGTTTGTGTCTTCAGAGACCAGAATAAATCTACTTGTAAATATGCCAAATAATGATCTTTTTTTTTTTTAAACCTTGCTTCTGCGTAAGGCAGAATACACATAGTTAATCAAAGTATTCAAATGTAAAATCAGACAGTTTTTTCAATGATTTATACATTGGCCTTGGAAATTTAATTTGGTTGGCTGCAGATGTCTATTGTAAAAAATAAAACATTATCTCATAAACATAATAGACACACTTTTGCTTCCCCATCAATGTTTCATAACATTTCAAATCCAAAAAGAGAAAAATTATAAACACACAGAGAAACTTTAAAAAGCATTTCTTAAATGTGTGTGTGTCTGTTTGTTTGTGTGTGGCCTGCAGGCTGTCAGGTTGTCAGGTGACGGAGAAAGGCTGCTCATTCCTGGCGTCAGCTATCCAGTCCAAAAAACCCTCCCTGAAACACCTGGACCTGAGTTACAATCACCCAGGAGACAATGGGAGGAGGCTGCTCTCTGAAATATATGAAGATCCAGATTCGAAGCTGAAGACACTCTGGTACGTAAAGTAGTCATGTACAATTTAAGAAAGTAAACTTGTGATGTCATCAAGTAGGGCTGTGCGATTATGGCAAAAATCATAATCACGATTATTTGGGTCAATAATTGATATCACGATTATTTTGACGATTATTCATTGACCATTTATTGAACTTTAAAACAAATAATATTTTACCAATAAACAAGATCAACAAATATGTTGGAGCACACTTCCAAAACCATACTAAACATATATTATTAATATGATAAATAAAAATAAATTAGACCAAAATAAATTAAATCAAACATGTTGCAGTGCACTGTCACAACCTACTGAAAACTCCTTAACATATAGCCAACATTTTGGTAAAACATATTCATTATTCCACTCAGTTAAACGTTGAAGGCTGGCCAACCGTCATGGTCCAGAAGTAACAGGAAATAAATGTTGAACTACAATTTAAGACCAAATAAAAATGTTTAGGCCACCATGGCAAATGCTGGTAGGGCTGCTCGTGTTATCTCTTAAAGATTTTTTGCAAGAAACAACAGCCTGTTTACATGGTCTGGTTTCAGAGATGAGCGCAGGCAGGTGACGATATTGCCACCTGTACTGAAGACCCTCAGCCACGCCCTGACACATGGGGTGACGCCGGCCAATCACAAAGCTTTGATGCGTTCATGTGCATTATTCTGGCACAGGAAGATTATGTTACAGGACATTAACGATAAAACAGAATATTGTTGTTCTATTTTTAGACACATCTTGCAATCGACTGGTTGGGCATCCCTGGGCTAGACCATAGGTCCGTTGTGGTCGCAAAGTAGTCAGCTGAAGCCACATCTCTCTCAACTTCCCGACGGCATTTGTCACATAGCGCAGGCAGCGCAGACCTGCTGAAATAATACCGAGACGGCATCGCGTAACGCTTGTCCAACGTGTTGACAAGTTGCTTAAAGCCCTGGTTGCTAACAGTGCTAACTGGGCACATATCTTTAGCGATGTGGAATGTAATGGCAAAGTACTTGCAAATAGTGGAAATAGTTTTACCCTTCTTTTTAACGAGTTGCTGCTCTTGTTCTGACATCTTCGCTCGCGCTGAACACTCACAACACATGTCACTCCCACGTGGCCGAACGGGCTTTTAGGGAGGGGCGAAAGCGCACCCAGCAAAAATAATCGTATTTTGTCAATTATGCTGTTTTCATAATCGTCGCAAGCCATAATCGTAATCGCGATTAAAATACGATTAATTGCACAGCCCTATCATCAAGTATAAAGTCTATTGGTGCTCCATGGACAATGAATGTAAGTGAGTGATTTTGTGGACCGAAATGTGGGGATTATGGGACAAGCCTTTTTTGCTGTTTCATTAATTATGTCCATATGCATTTTCCTACGTCTTTTGATATTGAGCAATGTACACAAACACAACATCAATATATTGAATAAAAGGCTATATTGTCTTGTGATCCCTTGCTACAGGGGGCTAAAACATGTGCAATAAACAAGAAGGCTTTTCAAAGTATTGAATTGAATTTCTGTATCAACCCTGTCTGTCACGATGTGTGAAGCAGGTAGGACCCAAATGCACGTATCACTAGGCCACCAGGGTGGGTGGAGGGGGTCAGGAGGACGGGACTGAGCTGACCGCCCAGAGGCACAGCAGAGGACCAGGAAGGGATCTCGGGCGGACGGCCCGGGGGCAAGGCAGAGTTCAAAAAGGGGGATTCGGGCGGACGGCCCGGGGGCAAGGCAGAGTCTAAGGTGGGGGACTCGGGCGGCCGAGCATGAGGGTGAAGGCAGCGGCAGGAAGAGTCAGGGGGCCGGGCTCGAGGACGAGGGCAGCGGCAGGAAGAGTCAGGGGGCCGGGATCGCGGGCGAAGACCACGGCTCACAGAGGGCCGGGATCGAGGGCGAAGACCGCGGCTCTCAGGGGGCCGGGCTCGAGGGCGAAGACCGCGGCTCTCAGGGGGCCGGGCTCGAGGGCGAAGACCACGGCTCTCAGGGGGCCGGGCTCGATGGCGAAGACCGCGGCTCTCAGGGGGCCGGGATCGAGGGCGAAGACCAGAGAGCTCCGGAGGCCGGGCAGGAAGGCGCTGACGGGCCAGCGCCGGAGGCCGGGCAGGACCCGGTGTCGGCCGGACAGGAACCGGAGCTGGTGGGACAGGCCTCGGCAGGATCCCCCACGGAAGAGGACCAGGACACGGGATTGGCAGGACCCCCGGCGAGACAGAGGATAACGGGGCCTCCAACGGAACAGGACAAGGGGTTGGTAGGACCCCCGGCAGGAGAGTAGTCGGCGGGGCCTCCAATGGCACAGGACAAAGGGTTGGCAGGACCCCCGGCAGGAGAGTAGTCGGCGGGGCCTCCAACGGCACAGGACAAAGGGTTGGCAGGACCCCCGGCAGGAGAGTAGACGGCGGGACCTCCAACGAGACAGGACAAAGGGTTGGCAGGACCCCCGGCAGGAGAGTAGACGGCGGGACCTCCAACGGGACAGGACAAAGGGTTGGCAGGACCCCCGGCAGGAGAGTAGTCGGCGGGGCCTCCAACGGCACAGGACAAAGGGTTGGCAGGACCCCCGGCAGGAGAGTAGTCGGCGGGACCTCCAACGAGACAGGACAAGGAGCTGGCAGGACCCCCGGCAGGAGAGTAGACGGCGGGACTTCCAATGGGACAGACATACGATTGGTAGGACCCCCGGCAGAGGAGTAGTCGACGGGGCCTCCAACGGACCAGGACATTGGGTAGGGACTTGAGACGTGACTCGAGAGGGGACTCGAGAGGAGACTCGAGAGGGGACTCGAGAGGAGACTCGAGAGGTTAACCAAGGGGGAACTCGAGAGGGGACTCGAGAGGGGAACCAAGGGGGAACTCGAGAGGGGACTCGAGAGGAGAACTAGAGAGGGGACTAGAGGAGAGACTCGAGAAGGGACTAGAGGAGGGACTAGAGAAGGGAACTCGAGAGGGGACTCGCGAGGGGAACTAGAAGAGGGACTAGAGAGGGGACTAAAGGAGGGACTAGAGAGGGGACTAAAGGAGGGACTAGAGGAGGGACTAAAGGAGGGAACTCGAGAGGGAACTCGAGAGGGAACTCGAGAGGGGACTCGAGAGGGAACTCGAGAGGGGACTCGAGAGGGGACTCGGGTAGGAAATTGAGAGGTGACTCGAGAGGGAACTTGTGTCGGTCGGTACGCCGACAGGACACGGGGAGCTGGCGTCGTCTGGGGAGCCAGCAGGAGACGAGGTGCTGGAGTCGGCCGGTACACCGACAAGACTCGGGGAGCTGGTGTTGGATGGAGAGCCAACAGGAGACGAGGTGCTGGAGTCGGCCGATACGCCGACAAGACTCGGGAAGCTGGCGTCGGCTGGGGAGCCAGCAGGAGACGAGGTGCTGGAGTCGGGACCATGACTGCTGGAGCCGGTACTTGAGCCGGAACCATGGCTGTATGGGCCAGCTCTGGTTTAGGGAACACGGTTGTAAGATCCAGTTCTGGAGCCGGAAACATGGCTGTAAGGTCCGGAGCTGAAGCCTGGATCATGGCTGTGTGGGCCGGTTTTGGAGCCAGAAACATGGCTGCTGGGGCCGGCACTGGAACCGGAACCATGGCTGCTGGGCAAGGAACCGGAACACGGATCCATGGCTGTGTGGGGTGGTACTGGAGCACGGTACCATGGCTATGTGGGATGGTACTGGAGCACGGAACCATGGCTGCTGGGTCCGGCACTGGAGCCAGAACCATGGCTGTTGGGGCCTGTACTGGAGCCGGAACCATGGCTGCTGGGGCTCGGGCTGCTAGCCTGGCCTTGCGACGACTCCTCTTAGCAGCCTCCTGAATACTCCGTGGACCTCCATAAGCCTGACGAGTTCCGGAATACGACTCCTGGACAGGAGCAGGAACTGGGGCAGAAGCACGGGTTGACTTCAGGCGGAACCCACCAAGGCGTATGGTGCCAGGTTGGGAATTGGGAGACAGGGAGCTAGCATGCCTGGAATCACATGCTTGAAGGAAGTCCAAAATCCAGTCAGGTAAAAACTCAACAAAACATGGTTTCTCTGCTGCCAACCGGAGCGCCTCTACCAGAGCGGCCCTCTTCTGCCGAACACTGGACGCTCCCTTCCACCAATCGAAGCAGCAAGCCAGATAGAAGGTTAAATGCTGTAATTCAACCTCCCATGGATCATCTGCTGGGTCCATTTTGTGGTCGGTTCGTTCTGTCACGATGTGTGAAGTAGTGATGGCAGTTTGACACTGAAGCTTCGAACGGAGCTTCAACCCTGGACTTCCTATTTCATGGAAGCAATGCTTCGAAGCTTGCTTCAAATCACGTGACATATGACGTCCGAACCAGCAACTGCTTCAAATCACGTGACATGTGACGTCCGAAGCAGCAACTGCTTCATTTCCTGAATGAATCACTTGACTGGTTCACGGTCCATTCACGCGATTCAATGCACTGCCTCGTCTCGATTCTGACAGGTGACAGGTTGAAACTGTTTCAAATTTGAGCGCTTCAACACTTTATGACCGCTCTAAACAATGCGCAATGTGTGGGTTGTTGTCGTAGTTTGCGTTGTTGCTGTTGAGTTGTTGTTGGTATTGCATTTGATATCATTATAGAGCAAGCCAGGAAGAAAGATAGGTCGTTCTGGCTCGGGAAACACTTCGAAATGTGGAGAAGTTGTGAACAAAAAGACAATTATAAGTAATATAAAAACAGTTAAATAATTTAAGGAATAGATAGCCCAGTGGGTAGAGCCGGCGGCCCGAATGCGGCGATGTCCTCCTGTTAAATAATTTAAGGAATAGATAGCCCAGTGGGTAGAGCCGGCGGCCCGAATGCGGCGATGTCCATTCCGGTTCAAAGCCCGGAATGGATGTATTTTAATCATTGCTTTTCAACTTTAATAACTGATAAAAGGCCCTCTCCTCCCAAAAAAATGTCCAGCACTCTCTAGTCTCTTCTCAATAACCCAATACACACAATTATCAATCTTTAATTGGAAATAGAACATGATATTCAATTCAGTCTTAGTGTGTGTGTGCATCGAATATTTTTCAAGGCAAAGATACGTTAAACCCACTGCAGCCTTGCACTTCGCCAGGAGAGGTCGCTGTAACTGAAGCTTCGAGAAATGAACCTATTTCCGACACAATTGTCCAAGTGGTTCGACGCTTCATTCAAAGCTTCATTTTGCCATCACTAGTGTGAAGCAGGTAGGACCCAAATGCAGTTTAAAGTGAAAATTCCTTTATTTCAAGGCTAGGTGAACAAAGACAAAACAGAACACTCACCGAAGAACTAGTCATGACACAAGACGAACCGACAAAGACAGACAGAAAAACCAGAACTTAAATACACACAAGACTAATCACAGAAACAAGACACAGGTGAGGATGGAGGAGAAAACACAGGGACACCAGGTGAACACAATCGGGTAAATTAGACACACCAGGGAAACTAACGACAGGGAACCACAGACAGATTTAAACAAGACACAACGCAGACAGAAACAGGCAAGACAGGAAGTGAAGACCTTTCAACATAAAACATGAAACAAGACAAGACAAAACACCATAAAGACAGATCGTGACACTGTCTTTGTTTTTTGCAGTTTGGATCACTGTGGAGCGCATCGCATGAAGACAGGGCTGAAGAAGTGTAAGTGTTTATTATTGTTGTATTCCTTATTATTATTATGTAAGATGTTATCACTTCAGTATAGTGTTAGACAAGGATTAAGTGGAAGTAAATTCCTGATACGTTTAAAATTAATCTCTGATAATATGCCTTTGTCACCTAATTTAACAGGTAATATAGGTTTTGATAATGTACACACTTCTTTTTAGATATGACATCCGTTATATGCTACATTGATTTTTATTTGATCCAAACAACATAAGATACAGCTCTTATAAAACTAAATTATGAGTCTGTTTCTATTTCAGATGGTGCTGATCTAAAGCTTGATGAAAACACAGCAAGCAAGAGGCTTATATTGTCTGAGGAGAACAGAAAAGTAAAAACTGTGCGGATGGTGAAGGAAAAGGTGGAGCGACCTGAACACAAGGACAGGTTTATGAGGAGCCAGGTGATTTGTGGGGAGGGCATGCAAGGCCTCTGCTACTGGGAGGTGGAGTGGGAAGGGAGGGTTGGCATCGCAGTGACATATGAAGCAGTGGGTAGAGGATGGGATAGAAGTGGTGGCCTAGGATGCAACGAGATGTCCTGGAGTCTGCTCTGCTCGAGGACTCAGTACCATTCCATACATGGAAAAACATGGAAACTTATTGAGCCCAACAATGAGAAGACATCCAAAGATATTACGTCCAAAGACGGGAAGACTTCCAAAGATAGGAAAACGTCCAAAGATGGAAATACATCCAAATATGGGAAGACGTCCACAGACTTTAAGTTCAAAGATGGAAAGACAACTAAGGATGGGAATATTTCCAAAGACGGGAATACATTCAAAAATATTATGTCCAAAAATGGAAAGACATCCTCAGATGGGAAGATGTCCAAAGACATTGCGTCAAAAGATGAGAAGACATCAAGAGATACTGAGTCCAAAGATGAGAAGACATCAAGAGATACTGAGTTCAAAGATGAGAAGACATCAAAAGATACTGAGTCCAAAGATGAGAAGACATCAAGAGATACTGAGTCCAAAGATGAAAAGACATCAAAAGATACTGAGTCCAAAGATGAGAAGACATCAAAAGATACTGAGTCCAAAGATGAGAAGACATCAAAAGATACTGAGTCCAAAGATGGGAAGACATCAAGAGATAGGAAAACGACAAAAGATGGAAATACATCCAAATATGGGAAAAACTCCAAAGACTTTAAGTTCAAAGATGGAAAGACGACTGAGGATGGGAAAACTTCCAAGGATGGGAATACATTCAAAAATGGGAAGACATCCTCAGATGGGAAGACGTCCAAAGCTGAGAAGACATCCAAAGACCCTGAGTCAAAAGATGAGAAGACATCCAGAGATCCTGAGTTCAAAGATGGGAAAACGTCCAAAGACTTGAAGTTCAAAGGTGGAAAGACGACTAAGGATGGGAAAACTTCCAAGGATGGAAATACATCCAAATATGGGAAGACATCCACAGACTTTAAGTTCAAAGATGGAAAGACAACTAAGGATGGGAATATTTCCAAAGACGGGAATACATTCAAAAATATTAAGTCCAATCATGGAAAGACATCCTCAGATGGGAAGATGTCCAAAGACATTGCGTCAAAAGATGAGAAGACATCAAGAGATACTGAGTTCAAAGATGAGAAGACATCAAGAGATACTGAGTCCAAAGATGAGAAGACATCAAAAGATACTGAGTCCAAAGATGAGAAGACATCAAAAGATACTGAGGCAAAAGATGGGAAGACATCAAAAGATACTGAGTCCAAAGATGGGAAGACATCAAGAGATAGGAAAACGACAAAAGATGGAAATACATCCAAATATGGGAAAAACTCCAAAGACTTTAAGTTCAAAGATGGAAAGACGACTGAGGATGGGAAAACTTCCAAGGATGGGAATACATTCAAAAATGGGAAGACATCCTCAGATGGGAAGACGTCCAAAGCTGAGAAGACATCCAAAGACCCTGAGTCAAAAGATGAGAAGACATCCAGAGATCCTGAGTTCAAAGATGGGAAAACGTCCAAAGACTTGAAGTTCAAAGGTGGAAAGACGACTAAGGATGGGAAAACTTCCAAGGATGGGAAGACATTCAAAAATGGGAAGACATCCAAAGACCTTGAGTCAAAAGATGGGAAGACATCAAAAGATACTGAGCCCAAAGATGGGACAATGTCCAAATTGCCTCTTTATAAAAGAATAGCAGTATTTTTAGATTGGGAAGCTGGCACTCTGACCTATTACGGTGTCACACAAGAAAAGCTGAGCCTTATACACACCTTCCATGCCAGATTCACAGAGCCCCTCTTCCCATGCTTCTGGTTTCAGAAGGGCTCTGTGACCTTGTGTAAAATAGACTGAACTCCCTGAGATAGGGGAAGTCTTCAATTGATGCTCCATTTGACTTCAATGGAATAGCAAAACCTTGCCTGCATCGTATCAATACCATGATGTAAAAGACTGAAAGACACTATATTAACATAGTTCCTCTTGCCGGAAGATGTTTGTTCAATTCATGTTTACTTAAATACTTTTCTTACCTATAGCCTGAATTTATGAAAGTATGTTGCAGTTCCTTAAACTAGTAAGAGTATGCGAACAGATGATCCATATGAGTAAGCAGCATTGTGTCAACTTTCAAATTAAATTACAAGGAAATATTCAGTTTTTACAATTCAAAGAATTTCATGTAAGTAAATGTGAGATGTATTGTAATAAAAATGAAAAGTGTTATAGAAGAACTGTATGCTAACTATTGCAGCCGCTTATACAGAACAACTGATTTCCCGCCATTATTTTAATAAATGTTGTTTTAAATTAATGTAATGTCATTGATGTTGTAGGGCATTCGCAAAAATAAAAAAAAATATTTTGTTTTATTAAACCAAAGTGTGTCTTTATATAAAACATATATGTATGCATACACACAATTGTACATCTTCGTTTGTAAATATAATTGTATAATACTTGTATTTGTTTTATATTCTACCTTCTTCTATTTTTTTGTCCATTTAAAATGTCAAATTTCCTTCAGTGTCCTTCAGATGGCAATCTGTGTGTGAAGAGCAAACAACATTGTGCAGAATGTATTTTATAATAAAAAGATAAATAGAGAGACAGTTAGATAGATTTTTGTATTCATCTCAAATTGGGAAATTCTTTAGTTACAGCAGCAATGTTATAAGGCATTAACATGTTTAAAAGGTAAAATAAAGTATATACATAATAACTTAAAGATAAACAGCATATAACAATATATACATATCCACAGTAGAAAATACATATATCACAAAGAATACACAGTATGAATTTGAATGTTTTATAAAAGACAAATACACTATATCATCAGAAATAGATATGTACTACTGTACAGTAGCAAAACATATAGACATGTATAGGTAGTATGTACTGGAAATTATAGTTGTGCAAAGGAGCTTTTGTGCAAATTGTTCATGGTGTTGGAGAGGGACAAATATGAACTTCATACCAGAAGGTCTTAAAGCGTAGATTCAAATGTGTTTATCCTTCCTAAAACAATATTCACATATCCATATGTACACTGTAACAATGTTCAATTCCTCCTCTTTACTCTGGTCATAAGAAGAGTCCTTACTAACAAGCTTCAACGTAAGCTGAGGCAAAATCCACAGTCCTTACATAGTGTAAATGTATGTTCTTCAATTCATCAGACAATTAGGTATTTTCCACATGTAGATTTTGTAACCTTCAGAAACACTTTGAGGTATATTGCACAGATCTAGGATTTTGAGACCCCATGTCTTCATTTTGAAGGACGGGTTCTCCTGATGGCTGGTATGAATGGGAGGAATCACAGTGGCGAAACTGTTTTAACGTACATTTTGATAACTGGAATTGTTTAAAGACAGATAGGAATAAAATAGAATCTGTGGAGTTATGCTTGGAGGGAGCAATAGTGTATAAGGCGTCTGTCCTAAAGTTTGTAGCTGTTTTGAAGTTTAGCCATCACACAGATGCAACACAGAATGAGTCCTACCTTTATGTTTTATATTTTAAATAAATATGTTAATGATTTCCTAGATTTTTGGACAGACTTTCTGGAAGACATTCATAGTGTTACACTTTCTGCACATATGGCCAATAGCTGCGTCTTTCTGCCACATATCAATTGTTCCCCCTTAGTGTCAAGTTGTCTTCTCCAGGTTATCCTTCCCTCCAAACCGGGTAGGCTCTCACTCTGTTATTTGGTCACCTGATCTCTCTTCCTTATATAAAACACTTTACTTCATCTGGATCAAAATTAAGAAGTGACGTGTGTTTTGTGGAAAGTGTTACCTAGGAGAGAAGGAACCCTTGTCAACGGAGAGAAATAAATGGCTGCAGCGTTCATCATGCAGGATGTGATGTTAAAACAATGGCACATTGAGACAGACAAATATGACTATAAGCATTGTGATTGAGCCTGGTGGGATAAATGATTCCCATTTATGTTCTTTAAAATGTTGTTTTTCACTATCTTATTTATTTGTTAGTTTATTATACATTTGTACGTGACAAGTACAGAGAAACATTGCCAGTTACAGCAGCAGTGTCAGTGTGCTGGACACGTGTTTATTGTGAAAGCTGCCTTCTACTTAATTATTCTACCTTCATTTGTGGTACTCTAAAAGCAGGGAAAAAATACATTTGATTCCAATGTCCACTGTATGTGCAGCCTGGCATGTTTGAGCAAGTCTGTGTACATGTGTAATTGTGGGCGGTAATGAAATACACTTGTAAAGGACAGGCCAAAATGAAGCCGGAGGATGTGACAAACTGAGAACTGAAAAGGATGGGACATTGTAGCAACCAGCGCACTAAAGGCCTCTTTGCACAAGCTGCCTCTCTGTTTTTTATGAATCCAATTCATGACCAAATCTTTGAAGAGGCAGCACAACTCACAATTCAACATTTTGTTCCGGGTCCACATCGTAAACCTGTTTAATTCATTCAGGATCTTTCCTGTTTCAGCATATTTCACTTTGTAACCATTGAGCTGCTGCCGCTAATTGATAACACATTCAGAACGCCTCTTGCTCTGCCTCTGCCTCTGAAGATTTGTTTTGATTCCAGAGCTGCCTGTGAAAGCTGGATGAATGAGTGTTTGTGTGGATTTACAGAGTGGAGACAAAGCACTGTGTGTGTGTGTGTGTGTGTGTGTGTGTGTGTGTGTGTGTGTGTGTGTGTGTGTGTGTGTGTGGGTGTGTGTGTGTGTGTGTCACAGTGTCAGTCCTTTATAAATAAATAAAAAGGTTTCCCCATCTGCTTATTAGTTAGTTCCTGGTTTTATTTTAAATGTAAACCACACTGTTTTCTAAAAGAGCCTTTAATTGTTATTAATGTTCTAATTTGAATTGCCCAAGCAGGCATGCACTCACAGATCTCCAGGGTTTCTTACTTTTGCTTGGAATGACTAACGGTTAATGGTTTTCATAAGTCTGAGATTCTGCCCTCAAAGTGCTCAATGGTGTTCTTACCCCAATACAAGTAGATTGTTTTCATTATATTAAATACAAAATTATAGATGTGGGGGCAACAGGACTTGATCCCAAACAGACTGTAAAGAAATGGGACTGAAATGGAAGCCGGTCCAGATGTAGCCTTATTTTTCCGTATCCAGCTCTGAAACAGGAAAACCTTATGAAAAACCCATTGCCTCTTATTAACTTATTTCATGTCTCATATAACTGCACATTTTTTTCTTTGTTGACATGGAAAATAAAAGGCCTCCTATTTCCTAAAAGCAAGTCGAATCGTTAATGAAATTACACAAATTACATGTGCTCCTCTCTTCTCTTTGATAATATTAGACATACTGCAGGACACATTGTGAATTGGATTGTTGAGCAACAGGACTACCTTACAGACATAAGTATAAGAAATACATTCTGGAAAAAAACAATCTATAAAACGCTTTGCACCAATACCAATTTTCCAGGTTCTGTCAGAAGTATTCAGACCCTTAATTTGAATAAATATAGAAGGACGTCAATTTAAAATAAACCCCCATCAGTTACAGTAAAGTCCTGCAGAGTAGCATAAGATTGAAGAAGTTTGCATTTTTTTTTTACATACTTCTTTGCATTCAGCATCATATTTAGAAATCTCCCCACATGATTGTTATGAAAAATATAGGGCATGTGTTTTTTTAATACAGAAATCCGGCATTTTGTAAAAAAAGATTCCTGAAAGATCTGCAATGACTAAATTGGTTGTATTTTTACACCGCCTCAACAAACTATAAGGGCACGCTTTAAGATGCACTGTCGTCCAAAAGTAGCATTTTAAAGAAAGTTCAAGTTCATGGGATCTTTAACCATCTAGGACTGTGTGCTAATCTTTACCCTAACCTCAAAATAAAACCATCATCTCTAAAACTAAGAGGAACCTTTGTGCTAAAAAACAAGTATCATCCCTCAAAAAGCCATTTATAAAAGGAAATACGGCCCAGAATGTTTCTCACGTTTCCCATGTCTTCACTCTTGGCCCTCAAAGAAAGAAGTGCAAGGGCACTACACACATAGAGAGACACACAAAACCAACTCAAAGCTGACCATAGAGCGGTGATTTACTGTCCTCTGCATCTGACTTTCTCTACTTTACACAAAAACAAATATTTAAACTTGAAAGTCTCTCTAAATATGAACAAGAACAGTCATTCAGAGCAGTGATTTGTGGCTCTACTGTCTCTTTGTACCAGGCTGTTTGGTTCCCCGACGTAAACCCCATTCACAGGCAGGGTCAACTATGTGAGGTGCGTTTGATTTACATCGCCAGGAACATACTCTAACAGTTCAAGCTGTGATGGTGCTGTGATTTAGTAAACCGCAGTTAAGCAATTGCAACTCAAGCATTACAAAAATTTCAACTCTGACATTGGGGGGAATGAATGAAAATGAGGGCTTTCAGCACCCTTCACTCCCACCACATCATGAGTGTGCCCGGCAGCCTGGACAGACAAAGTGAATTAGAATCTGATCGCTCTGGTATCACATATTTGTGAAACAACGTGTGTGTAGCTCTAGGGTCCAAAGTGTTATGACATTCAATACTTTGGCCAACAGAAGGTAACGTATTGTGTCTGTGTGAGGTGTACTGACACAGTTTGTAGTTGTGTTACTGTGTGTGTGTATGAGCTGTCATTTGATCCATCCTCAGGTCGCTCAGCTCCCACCCTGCACGTCCACTCTGCTTCTCACAGACCAATCACATTGAACATTCCTTCACCTTCCCAGGATCCCCGGGACCCAGGGTGCACGACTGCAGGGCGTAACCATGGCGTTGAGGTGATGAGGTCACCCCCCCTTTGGTACTTTAGTGATTAGATGAGAGCTGATGCTATGAGATAGGAAGGGATAGAGTGAGAGACAGAAAGACAGAGAGAGAAAAAGCAATAAAACACATCACATTAAGACAAGTTCTGATACACACAAACACGTTTATACATCTTTAATTATTGGAGCCCTTAATAACAAAACATTTACTGAAATAATGACTCACTGTTGTGTCTCGTCAGATCTGTTAGTATTATTTCTCTATGAGTCTATATTGCTAAGTCCGTGTCTGCCATTTCCTGTTTTTACTTTGTCATTTCCCTTCTCATTTCAGGTAGTTTGATTCCTACCTTGCCACTGACCTAATTACCTGCCCCGCCCTTATTGTTTACATCTGTGGAGTCCCTTGCTTTTGTATATATTCTGTGTGTTCCCTGTGCCAAGTGCCAGATCGTTTTGAACCCTGTGAATGGATTACCTTGTTTCATCATTACAGTAAAACCTTTTTTGAATCATCTTTTGTCTAGAGTCGTGCATTTGGGTCCTATCAGTTTTTGTGTGCTCCAGTCGTAACACTCACCCTCTTAAAGCCTAACCTTCTTCTTAACTTAAATAAAATCCAAACCCCTCAAAACACCCTTTTTGTGGAAGTGACAGTGGTCCAAAAAGCACCTCACCATGAAGCCTAAAACTCAAATCTGCCCTACCAAAGATAGATGTAAAAGAGCACACACACATAAACCTTATCACCCTCCGACCATCGCCCTGATTGTTGATGCTCAATCCGTATGCACTTGACACGCTTTACATTAGTGAGTGTTTA